ATCAGATATCCTCACTTTAAAAATAATAATACAAATATGCATACTAGCAACTATTCTAAAAACAATCAATGTCCCACAACGGATCGCAACCCTCAGTGTTGCCCCCGTACCGGACCGGGGACCGGCAACGGGATTGCAACCCTCGGTGTTGCCCCCGCGCCTCGCTCAGCCAGTGAGCGGGAACCGGTCCGTATGTGGGATCCGAACCCTCGGGCGGGAGCGCCGCCACGCTTCCCAAGCGGCGCACTTATCCAGTGCGCCACCGGGCCGGCCCGAAGCAAAATAATTTGAGATTGGTGAGGAACACTGATTTCATACAAGAAAAAATTTTTATTAATTAAATGCCCCACTGTCTCACTTTTTGGAGTTAAATCTTTTTCCAGTGTAGAATCACTAAGCTGAAATACAAAATCATATTTAAGTTTTATTCTTTTATACTATTTAGGTATATAAAATATTATTTTCTTCTGAAGTATTAAAATTATTAACATATACTTATGATATGGCACATAATTGTGTATTTCTTTCTTAAACCAACTTTTATACCAGATCTTTTTTGTCAAGAAAATGCATTTATTGGACTAAAGGTAACGAGGCTAAGGAGATATATATATATGAATTACCTAGCACAGTGCCTGATACATGGTAGAAACTCAATAAAGGATGGCTATTGTTATTATTACAATGGAATAGGGAAATAAAAGTAAAGATGCTAATAATCATGATGTTTCTTTTTGAATCTCTTCCCCAGTAACCTCAAAGCACTTTACTTTACTACATGGGCATCTTTGAGTTTTGTTGGCTGGAGGATTTTTTGGTCTGTTTTCCTCCCAGGAAACAGGAGATAATTTGCCCAGAGTCATCAGAGATGAATATAAACAACTCGCTGTCTCCTAACTCTGACTTTGTAGCTTTATCCTAGTACTGATCATACTTTACTGATTAAAGACAATTCTGCAGAATCAAAAGGCATTTACCATTACTCAATAAATATAAATTCATGGTTGACAGGCAACAGATATTTCTTGAGTGCCTATCAAGTGCCTGGTTCCAGTGTAATATCAGAATTATATATTCCAGAAGGAAGAAACCCAGCAACATAATTTCAGATGATTTGATATTAAGTAACCATTGTAAGGAGTTACTTTTTTTTGGCAGCTAGCTCAAGGATTGAACCCTGGACCTTGGTGTCATCAGCACCACACTCTAACCATTTGAGCTAACTGGACAGTCCTTCAGTAACCATTATAGATTTTAGAATCGACTTACCATTTAGATGAGAGAGATAGTCAATATAGGCCAGGACATATTCTGGAATGTCTCCATATTTCTTTAGTCCCAGCTCAAAGATCTTAAAGGCAACAGATTTGTCCTAGAAGTAAAGAAAGTACTGATATCCATGAAATGTCAGGCAAGATACTCAAAAGAATGTTAAATTATAACACCTACATATGACAAGGTACATAAGAATTAAAATGAAAATTAAAATCATGTTAAGTAAAAACTGCTGAGCTAAAAACTGTTCCAGGGGATTTAGGTTAAGAAATATGGGGTTTAATAAGGCATAAATTAGTTGGGGATTTGAATGATGCTCCATATAATTTTACACAGATACACTTAGACTTCCTTTATGAAATAGAGCAATTAAAACTTAGTTACAGAAGCTAGGACTACCTTTTAATTAATGTATCTTAGATGAAGGAAATTATCTAAACATTTTATTTGTATTTCAGTATTTACCTTACTACAGTAATACTCCATGAGTGCTGCAGTAACATAGACATGGTGGCGGGTTCTGGTATCTTCTCTTGCTTTTTTAAATATCATTCTTCCAGATTTGATACCTTCTGCTCTCCTTGCAAATTTCATATATTGGATATATACCTACGCAAAAAAAATTATTCATATTCTATAACTTAGGCAAAATGTAATTCTTGTAGCATCCAATACCAGCTCACCTAATTTCCACACTAATACGTTTTCTATATAAGAAAGTAATCTGAAATAACCCAAGAAATTAGAAAGGATTATAGATAGTGCACTGTTTCAATCCACGAACTAATTTTTTCTGGTATTAGAGGTCATGCAAATTAATTTGTTTTGGTTTTGTTTTTTATTGAGATATAATTCACATATCACAAAATTCATCTTTAAAGTATACAATTCAGTGGCTTTTTAATATATTCACAAGGTTGTGCAATTATCATTGCTATCTAATTCTAGAATATGCAAATTAAATTTTAAGGGAAGAAAAACGCAAAAGTACTGGAAAACATTCTATTAATGAATGCCAGTATCTCGAAAACTCAAGGTATAATTTAATACAAGTATATTTTACAGTATATGTTTAACCTCACATTTTCTTGGTTTATTAAAAAACCCCACTACTCTATTTTCCAAAGACTGTCTAATGGAACTTCACTGATAAACTATGAGCCATTTTACACCCAGCACCTACAGTGCTCAAACACATGATGAGTATGCAATATTTGTTTAATGAATAAATGAACTATTAGTAGGGCTCTGGTTTGCCCGTTTTAACAATGTCAAACTATGTTGTCCAATCGTGATGGATGGATGAATAAATGAACTAAGAGTTCCTCGAGAAAAGGAACTTTATCCAGTTTGTCATTACATTACTGGAGTCTAGCACAATGCAGAGACTCCAGCAATGTTTTTGCTGGATATTTTTGCTGATTGAATTTTAGAATGATGAATAAATACAAGCAACTACAGCAGAGGAATCTCAATATAAACAAACAAAAAAAGCATTGTAGCTGTAATTGACTTGAGGCAGAGGGCCTAGAGTCCCACCCACAGACCTGTCCCCCTTCTCCTCCTGCCGACACAGTTCCTACTATAGATCAGGATTCAGAGTAAAGCAAGTTTATGTCCAACCCCTTCCCAGAATGTTGGTTTCTCCTGCCTTCATTTATTTAAAAAGAAATATTTATTAAGCAACAATTATGTGGCATAAAGTGGCTTCAAACCATGATCACAAGGAAAGCCCCTCTGTAGCTATTTCATATTGCTGCATTAAAAATAAAAAAAAATACAGCAGGAAACAGATCAGTAATTGTCAGGGATTGGAGCAGAGGAAAGGGTTATCAACAAAGGGATCACACCAGGGAAATTTGGGGGGACGATGGAAATGTTTTATATCTCGATTGTGATGGTGGTCCCAATGTTATTTATCAAGATTCATAAAACTATACAACAAAAACAGTGAATGTTACTATTCATAAATTTAATTTTTTTCGTTAGATTATAAAGGTGAGAAAGAGATTTATAAAGTTACTCACCAATGTGGGGTCAATATCCTCAATTGCCAGAAGTCTGTTATATATACTGTGAACCTTTTCATACTTCATGCGACTCTGAGGTGGTAGATAAGAAGTGAACATAAATATATACTCATAATAAGCAAGATCAGAGCTCTAAGGAATCCAGAGGCTACACCCACCGCAACACACAATGGCACCTGCTTTGAGCACAAATATAATATGAGATGAGGACTAACAATTGCTCATTTTGCATCATCTCTGTCTACCAAAAGTAATATGCCTGGCAAAAAAGCAGCCAGAAGGGGCCGGCCTGGTGGCGCACTGCTATAGTGCGCCGCTTGGGAAGCGCGGCAGCGCTCCTGCTGAGGGTTCGGATCCCACATACAGACTGGTTCCCGCTCACTGGCTGAGCGAGGTGCGGGAGCAACACCGAGGGTTGCGATCCCGTGCC